TTGATGGTGTCTAAACAGTGACCTGTCCCCTCCCCCAGGCTCTTGGAATCGAGAGCGAGGATGACTTGTATAAACTGGTGAAGTTCTTCCTTGAATACCGAACCCATCATTTATCTTCCAGCCAGGTAAGGTGAGGTGCCACTGAAAGGGCATCTCAGCTCTCCAGGAAGCCCCCAGAGGGCATTGCTGCCCTCAAGTAACACTTCTGGGCAATCTTGGGAGTTTACGCCAGGAATAGCTAACAGCGTTTTCCTTATTATTATTTTCTATATTTGCAAAGGGAAGAGTGACTAGGGGAGAGATGTTCTTGTCATATTGAGATCCAAGGGATCTTTCCCTGGGCCTTCCCTCAAAGCTTGGCCTCAGCCACTATAAGATCTGGGCCACCACAGTCCATCATTTTTGACCATTAACATGTTCCTGAAAAGCAAAGATGGTTTGCAATGCCATACATACCTTTGTTGTAACTGATTTCAGTGAGAGAACCAAATACCAACTCTTCTGAAGAGGTCATTATGTTAAAAAGACACAAGATCTTAATTCAAAATTGGAATTAAGGGCTGAAAATGTAGCTCAGTGGTAGAGTACTTGCCTAGCAGGTATGAGGCCCTGGGTTTGATCCCCAGTACCACAAAAAAGAAAAACAAAACAAAAAAAGAATTGAAAAATGTGAGTGTGAGTATCCTGACAGGTCTCCAAAAAAGAGTTGGTGAAGTGGACAAAAATTCTGAACATTTGACAACAGTGATGACTGGTGTGTTGGAAATGGGCACATTCTAAGTTGCTGGTAGGAGTGCACATTGTCACCTCCAAGTGAGAACTATTTGACAGTATTAATTACAAAACTCTATACACTTTTCAATTATTCTTCTAGAATTTTATTCTATAGATATGTCTCAATTCAGTTGAAATGATGTGTTTATTGTGGCTTATTTATTTCAATGAATTGTTTGAAGTAACAGAAGATTGGAAACAACCTTCATGTCTGTCATCGAGGAATTTATTTGATAATATATGGAACACCTACATAGTGTGATACTGTACAACTTTAAAAAAACTAAATGGAAACAAAGAACAGGAAATTATTTATATATTTATACAAAAAGTCTGTAAGCCAAAAGAACAAATGAGAGAGAGAGAGAGTGGGGGGGGAGGGAGCAATTTATAAAACAACATGTATAGAGTAGTACCATTTACATAAAAATAGGAAGGAAAAGTATTTAATGTGTTTACATATCTACTTGCTTATATATACATACTGTTTCTTCATTACATTAATTTGCCTATAAGATATAAACTGAATAACCTGGGAGACAGAAGAACTCTTAAATTTAAAAAATTGACTGTGTATTATGATTCAAATGACATTTATAACATGTCCACTTATGGATATCAAGTCAATGAACACCCGTGGACCCAGATTTAGAAGCAGAACCTTGTCATTGTTTTGAAGCCCTCCCCTGCCCCACGTGCTTCTTCCTGTCCATCCCCCATCTCTTCCCGTCTGTCTCCTATTTCTGTCCTTGTGCGATTGTCTTTGTAACTTTCTATAAACTCTGCTGTTTTCTTCTCTTCCTGTCTCTCTTCACACACTGGTGCTTGTGTGTCCCCAACCCACTCTCTCCTGTGTACCCTTCTCCAGATCGGCTCTTGGACTCAAGCAAACTTGGAGCAATCAAGCTTCATGTCAGCTCTGGAGAGAATGAGCTTGTTATCAGCGACAGGGCTCGAGAATACGAAGTGGGAGCTGGAGCAGGAGTCAGAGCAGGAGACGGAGGAGGCAGAGTCCATGGAGGGGGAAGAGGAGGAGAGCTTTGTGGGCAGAGAGCTGGAAGAGAAGGAGGCCCCGCCTTCTCCCAAGCTTATCCACCCCAATGAGGTTCTCAAGGTTCTGGAGGCCTTTGTCATGGGTCTGAAGAAACCCAGGTGTGCAGGGCACCAGAGGGCTTGCCTGAGACCTGGGAGGCGTGGGTGCTGGGAGCCAAGCAGAGGCTAGTGAGTGAAGAGGCTGCTGGGCAGAGAGGAAAGAAGTGGGGTGCAGGGCTGACTGACACTTTCCCCATTCGTCACTGGTTCACCAAACATTTAATGAGGTCTGCCATGCTTCAGCAAAACGAGGGTAACTCCTTGTGGTCAGAATGGCATCAAAGCCTATGTGAGGTGTGGCATTGTTCAGAGGGGGAGATGGCCATCCCCATTTGGCATATCAGAGAATTTGGGGTGGAGATGGCACTAGAATGGGTGGGCAAAGTAGGGGTAAGGGCTTTTCAGGACATCATAGCCCAGGGGAGGCCCGCTACATTCAGGAGTCACAATGGCAGGGATGGCGAGAGTGCCCTGGGTCTGGGAGTGGGACCAGTGAGTGGGGACATGGTCAGCTCTTGGAGAGCCTTGCCTGTGTGCCCACGATCTTTGCCTTTGCCCTGGTGACTGGAGCTGGGAGAGGATATGAAGCAGTTGGGGAGCCATGATTTGACTTGCACTTTAGAAAGATCCTTTTGATAGCAGGCGGAGGTGATGCTGGAAACAGGGAGAAATGGAGAGGCTTGTCTGGGTGGGAGGGAATGCTGTTCTGGGTTAAAGACATCATAGAGGGCATGGAAGAAAGTGCCAGAGTTTAAGAGCTGATGTCAGGATGCATTCATGGAAAAAGGGGGAGGCATAGTAATAAGCTGTAAAGTAGTGAGGTGAACAAAAAATTGGGAGAAAGAGAGGTGGCTTTCCCCTCACTGTATCAACACAGACTTTTACCTTCACGGAGGGAACAATAGCCCCAGTCAGGAACATGGAAGCAGGTGTACTTTCTGAGAATCTGCCATAATCTAAGAGACTTGGACAGCTGGGAGGGAAGGTGGCAGGTGGAAAGGCAGGATGTCTGTGACTGACTTCAGGCACTGAGATTAGCACTGCTCGGGGGCCTTGGGTGTCAGGTGGGGATCATGGCATTAGTGCTCTTGACCTGCAGGAACATCCGGGCAACAATGAGAACGGCAAATTCTTCACGAGATAACTCAAAGGACTCTGATTATTGGAAGGCCCTGACTACGGTTATCCCTCCCTCCAAGCAGAACCTCTGGGATGCTCTCTACACAGCCTTGGAGAAGTACCAGTAAGTGTGTGTCATGAGCCAGGAGGAGGAGGGAGCAGGGCAGGTCTGTGGGGGAAGACCCTGCTCCGAACAGCCCCACTCCAGGTCACACTCAGTCTTGAGGAGAAAAGCTGGGTGTGGCGGAGGGGGTAGGGGGAGTTTTGGTTGGTCTGGCCCTAGCCTGGGTGGAAGATGACGCATCTGGGGCCCTCCTCTGTGTCTAGCCAGAACAAACATAGAGGTCCTGGTCCTCACTTGGCAGAGGGTGGAGGATTCAGTGGGTCTCTAACCTGTTTTCCCACCCAAAGCCTCGTCCTGACCCAGAGAGCCAAGTTGCTGATAGAAAACAATTCTCTGGAGCAGCAGAACTCGGAGCTGCAGATGCTGCTGCAGCAGTATCTCCACTCCAAGGTGGGTGGGCAGCGGAGCAAGGAGGAGCCCCTCCCCTCGGTGAGGTGGTTTAGATGGGATGCAAAGCAACAGGAGCACCTCAGGTGGAGACAATGACAGGGCAACCAGGTTGTGTCTCTTAGATGCTTGTGGCTTTGGCACCAGCTGGTTGGGACTGTTTTTCAAGTAGAGCCAGAGCCAGCTTCCCAGCTTACACAGGCCCCAGTTTTTCTCCACTCTAACAACCTGTGTGAGGTAGAACTGTCCTCCCACTTCACAAAAGGCAGCAAAACCTGGAGGCTTAGGGAGACCCCCAGAGACTGGGGCCAGATCAGCTTCCTTGGCCTGTGATTTGATGCAGGGTGCCCTCATGGGGAGAGGTGTCTGTGCTGGGCACATGGGCTCTGCCCAGCTTTGTGCCTCCTCCTGCAGGAGTCGTGGTGTCTCCCTTGGTCCGGCCGAGAATGGAACCGTACTGCTGTAACAGTCATGTGCTCTCCTCTCCTGTCCATTAGTCATCAGCTACACACATGTGAGGCAGCTGAGGCTAGCCCCTGGCATCATGATGGCCTCTTGGCCTGTGACAGGACTCAGACATTTGGGACCTTGCTTCCATGGATGCTGTATACAAGAGCATTGGGGAGGGGAGAGGATGCACTGGCAAGTGAAGAGGGGAGGGGGGTTTAATGGCAGGGTGGGGGCAGGGGGAACACTAGGAGAGGTTGGTGGCCAGAGCCCACCGGAACAGGAAGCCCGAAGCCCGGCAGCCTTGAGCTCTGTGTGTGCGTTAGCTTTGAGAGGAACTCTTGCAGGGTCTGGGGACTCAGGGAGAGCTAGCATACGCATGGAACCCCAGGGGACAAGAAGGAGGGCCTGGGGGAAAGGAATGACCTTCACTTTCTTTTCCAGATAAACTCTGAACTGCAGATTCCTCCAACTCATGTGTTCCGGGTACCCACAAAATAGAGGTGGACCTCAAAGGGCTGACGTGCTCTAGTTGGCAGTGGGGCTGGTGCCAGAGCTGGCACTTACCTAGTGATCCGAGCCCACTCTAGATTTTCCAGAGCCGTCTTATAGGCTGTCAAAATAAGTCAACAAGCGAGTCACCTGTTTCCTATAGTTCTGATTAAAGTTTTTTGAAAACTGTGGCTGAATCTCTGTAAAGAGGCCAGACCTGGTGTGTGTGTGTCATGAGGGAACTTGTTCCTGGGCTCAGGTCCTGGTGTGTGACCAGAGTGAGGCCAGTGGCCTGGGGCACCTTCTTGCTTCTGGGGACAGCTGGTTTCTTTTCTTTTTCTTTTTCCAGTTTGAAACCGTATTTTATTTTTAACATAGCTAGAAATACCCAATAACTATATATTTTTAAGCAGAAAACTTTCTTTTCCTTCTTATAGCATCATTAGCAGAAAAAAAAAAAAGAATATTTCTGGTTTAGAAATGATACTGGGTCTCTAAGAAAATGAAGACTGTTGTATTTATGGAACTTAAAAAGTCAAAAGCACAGGACACATTTTCAGAAGAGTAATTTACTTTTACCCTTTTATTTTCGTAATATTCGAGTATAGTTAGGTCATGTATAATTAAGTCAATCAAATCAGGAATCCAAGAAGAAACTTCATGAGTTAGCACAGCACACATGAGATTTTGAGAACATACATGAATAAAAAAAGAACACTGGCAAGCCAAAATCCAGGGATAAATGGTTTCCTCATTTTTGTAACAGAGGCATTTCTGTCTACTCATGTACAGCAGAAGGTAAGAACCTGAATAAATATATTAGAAATGTACTACTTTATAAATGTACTCCAAGGAGTTTATCATTTCCTTTATCTTTGCAGGAACAAAAGGGAAAGAAAGAGGCGGGGGGTTATGGTTGCAGTATTTGAGGAAGAGCAGGGGCAGCTGGTTTCTATGGGTGGAGGCTGGAGCTCTTATAGGGTCATGAGCCTTCAGATTGTCTCCAGGCCCGAGGGACATTTTCTGTGCACTTGGGGCCCTCCGTACATCCTGGTGTGCCTTCTGGGCTGGGGAGACTCCTCCTGTGAGCTGCCTGAGCAGGCAGCCCTGTTCCTGAGGCTCATCTTGATCCCTGGGCCACGAGAGGCCACCACAAGGGAAGAGTTGACCAACCCAGCGTGTCCGCTGACCTGTGCCCCACGGAGGTGGCTTTCCCTTCACTGTATCAACACAGACTTGTCAGCTCAGTGTTCGATTTATTTTATTAAGAGAAAAATCACACTCAGGAAAGGACAAACAGCCAAGAGAAACCCAGTCGCAGGCAGGGGCAGCACTTGAAGCTCAAACTCCTGGCAGCAGCTGCTGGGCAGGGCAGGACTGCCTCGCGGGTGGGGCCGTGGTGACATGGGCCCAGCTCAGTGCTCCTGTCTGGGCTTGCGAGCACCGCCTGGGCAGAGGGGCCTGGGCTGGGCACCTGTAGACAGGTGGCTGCCTGGGAAGGGGCAGGAGCCAAGCGGAGCGTGGGTGGACGCGGCAGCTGCCCTGGGGCTTTGGGGCAGGACTGGTGGCGTCGGCTGCGCTCACAGGACTGGGTGGTGGTGCCCTCTTGCTCCTTCATTCTTTGCAGAGCCCTGGGACTGGCCTGTGATCCTTGGTTAATCTCATTAAAGTTTTAATCCTGGGCTCAGGAACCCCAGGGGAGGGTTTGGAGCAGGGCTTGAAGGAGGGTGGGACCCCAGCAGTGGGGCAAGAGGGACCTGCTCCAGGTCCCCACCTCTTCCCGGGCTCCCTGGCCCCCAGGCAGGATCTGAGGGGCAGGGTTGGGCACACAGCAGTCTGGGCAGTGTGGATGGCAGCCTGGCAGGCAGGAGGCAGGGCCCGGCCCAAGGCTTGGAGGGTGGACGTGGGGCTCTTCAGGCTCCCCAGGGAGGGAGGAGAGAGTCCAGGCTGCAGGAAGGGAACAGCAGCAGGGGCTGGAGGGGTGCCGGAGGGAGGTGGCAGAGCCTCACGCCCCTAGCAGCTTCTTGACCATGTAGCCGGGGAGGCTGTAGAGGAAGAGGCCCAGCATGAGCAGCCCCAGCAGCGCCAGCACGATCTTGATGATGAGCCACTTGTACCGGGTGCAGATGAGGTACTTGATGGACTTGAGCGGGTTGAGGAACCAGACGAAGGCCGTGTCGGGCCGGCTGGGGGACAGCGGGAGGGGCTGGTCAGGCAGTGGCACAGGCAGCCCCCACCGGGCACCCCACGGGGCACCCACCCTCTCCCCTTCCAGACCCAGAGGCCCTGAAGCAGACTGAGGCCTGCAGACTCAGCCGTGGGTGCCGGAGCCCGGGGTTTGCCTACGTCGAAGCACCAGCTTTGCTGCTTGCAGAGCCTCGTGCTCCTCCCAAAGCCTAGATGGAGCTCTAGGCATGGGGCAGCCGCCTGGCCTCGGCCTTGACACTTGAAGCAAGGGCAGCCGCCTGTGGCAGTGGCCTTGGAACTATGGGCCTGTACTCAGCCGCTCATCATATAGGGTTGTGTTGTCCCTTGTTCTCAGGGGACCAGTGTGGCACTACCTCTTCCTTCATAATGAGTACAAACTTATGTCCCACCAGGCCTGGCCAAGCAGGGCACGCTGCCCTCGCCAACCTGCTCCACCTTCTTTGCTCTGCCTTCTGCGGAAAAGAAATGCTCTACCCAAGAGGCTTGCTGAGCTTTACCACTTCACAAAAACAGCAGTTTTCATAAGAGATCCAGATATAAAGTGAAAGTACAGAATATGCTTTTTCAAGTTACCCAGTACCTCCCAGAGTACATGGGCTACGCTCCAGAGTGAGCTCAGTACACATGGGACAACGAAGCAGGGACTTTGGGCACAGGGCATCTAGTTGGACTCCAGCTATGGCTGGCACCTGTTGGAGCCTCCATTCCTATGGATGGTAGTCATAGCTGATTCCTGGGGCTGTGAAATGGTGAAGCAGGATGCGTGTGAAGCTCTCAGCCCGTGAGGTGGTGCTCAGTGTTGGCTGTTGAGGGTCTGAATCTGGATGGGACTGAGATTCCACAGGGCAGACTCAGCACCTCACAGGGACGTCTCGATGGGGGAAGTCATTTCAGGTTTTTGCTGGGGAATCCTAGCTCAACCTTTCCCCTTTCCTTGTCACTATCAATTTTTTTCTGTCAATAAATTGGAGTACAGTCTGCAAGGAATGTAGCTGGGACGGGAGGCGCTGTAGTTTGAAAAACGCTGGATTGGCAGTTTGGACACCTTGGCTGGAGTCCCACTCAGCTCTGCCCTAATTTACTGGGTTGGGTTACTTCACCTCTCTGATTTAACACATAAAAATGTGAAGTAGCCACTTCTAATTCTGAGAATATTATTCTGTTTTGAAAGTTTGAATGTTTGTGAGGG